TCCTTTATAGGTACCATATAATTATACAAAAAAGATAACATCTTTATATACACTACATCACCACTAATATATTGCTGCTGCTGCTGCTGCTGCAGCTGCTGTTTGCTGCTGTTGCTGCTGCTGTTGTTGTTGTTTGTTGTTACTGCTGCTGTTGCTGCTGCTGTTGCTGCTGTTGCTGCAGCTCTTGCTGCTGCTGCTGCTGCGCGCTATGGGAAGCAGCGGGAAATAACCCGCCACCTCCCGTGCTGCTGCTGCTTCTTGGTTGCTGCTTACTTGTCTACTGCTGTTGCTGCTGATCTTGCTGCTGCTGCTTCTGTTGCTGCTGCTGTTGCTGCTGCTGTTGCAGCTTTTGCTGCTGTAGTTAGCTGAGGTGTGTGGTGTCTCTCTGCTGCTGCAGCAATCTGTAGTGTGTGTAATATACACCTCGTTCTGCTGCAGTTGCTGCTGCGGTTGCTGCTGATGCTGCTGCTGCTGCCGCCGCAGCTGCGGCTGATGCTTATGATGCTGCTGCTGCTGCTGCTGCTGCTGCTGCTCCTCACGCTGCTGCTGCTGCTTTAAGGCCTATGCTTTGGAGGCCACTAAGAAGAGAAGAATTGAGGTGTACATACAGCTAGAAGTGTTGTCTTCTCTTATCTGCTGCTGCGCATGCACTGCGACAATACACCGCAATAGGGGGCCCGTGTCTTGTTGCGGTGTACACGTGCTGGTTGGCAATAAACCCTAAACCCTAAACCCTAAACCCTAATTTCTAAACCCTAAACCCTAAACCCTAAACCCTTAACGTTAAACTATACAAATATTCCAACCCTAGCTAATCCGCAGAAAATATTTCGAGCCGCCGCGCGGCCCCCCAGCGCATGCTCCCACACCTCTCAAACCCTAAACCCTAAACCCTAAACCCTAAACCCTAAACCCTAAACCCTAAATATTGTGGAAATCTTTAGTTTATTATGTTTAAATTAAGAAGAACATTATATGCAGATCATCTTCTTGTTGTTGGAGACGCAAACCGGCTTACCTCTCCATCCTGCTTTACAAACCCTAAACCCTAAACCCTAATCCCTAAACCCTAAACCATATAAGCCTTATTATAGCTCCTCTGCAGCAGTAAACACTAAAAAAAAGAGACAGAGAGAGAGAAGCAATGAGCAAGGTGTCTAATTGAGCAATGCAGACCTTTTGCCTTTTGCCCTCTTAGAGTCCTGACCCTAAACCCTAGAACCCTAGGGTTCTAGGGTTTAGGGTTTAGGGTTTAGGGTTTACGCCTGTACCTCCGATAAAAAGAGCAACAGAGCTAGACTTAGACCCTTGTTTTCTCTCTGCATGCAAAGAGGGCAACTAAATTATCCCTTAATTACTTAATTGCCTTCTTCCTTATCCAACATAATGGGGCTTTATTCTGCATGCATGCACAACTATATTGCATGCATTTGCCTCTCCTGCCTCCTAAGGAGACAAAAAAAAAGAAGAAAAAAAAGAAAAAAAGGAGACACTTCCTTCTCTTCCTCCTCCTCTTCCTCCTCCTCTTCCTCCTGTCTCCTTAATACTAATTATTATTAACTAATTCTTTTTCTTGCTAACTAGGGCGATGTATACAGCAGCAGCAGCAGCAGCAGCAACTCTTTTTTTGTCTCCCTTTTATCTGTCTCCTCCTCCTCATATACCTAGTACCCTAAACCCTAAACCCTAAACCCTAAACCCTAATTGATTGTCTTTTTTATTGTGTGTCTCCTCCTTCCTGTTAATCATAGATAATACAGTTATTAATTCTTCATGCATGGATACTACGTCTTCTGCTGCTGTTGCTGCTGCTGCTGCTGCTGCTGCTGCTGCTGCTGCTGCTGTCCTTTAGCCAATCCTTCGTTAGTCATAAAGAGACAACCAAAGGATTTATTGTCTTAAGGAAGAATAACAAATAAATAAATAAATAAATAAATAAATAAATAAATAAATAAATAAATAAATAAATAAATAAATAAATAAAGGGGGACTTCTTAATAGGCTACTGCTGCTGCTATGCCCATGAGTCTGCATGCGCATGCATATTGTTAGCACAGACATACAAGGAGACACAGACGCAGAGGAGAGGAAAGAATTGCATGCAGCACGCTGCATGCAGTACGTCTTGTGCTGCAGTTGCTGCTGTTGCTGCAGTTGCTGCAGTTGCTGCAGTTGCTGCAGTGTTGATACTGCATGCAGACCCCACCGCATGCATACATACACAATAATTATTTTTATCCTTTCTTAGCCCTCAGTAGACAATAACCCTAAACCCTAAACCCTAAACCCTAAACCCTTAAAAGGAAGTCATAAATAATATTAAGGGAAGGTATACATCATAGAAACGCTGCAGTATACCCTAAATCCTAAACCCTAAACCCTAAACCCTGAACCGTAAACCCTAAACCCTAAACCCTAAACCCGAAGGAAAAGGATATTCTTTCCTCTTTACCTCAATCAGCAGCAGCAAGAGCACAATACTCTGCTGCTGCTGCTGCTG